AGAGGTGACCTTAGGTAGGTGAGGGACCATCCATCATCACTAATTGGAAGGCAGAGATACAGACACAGAACTTGCGGCCACTGAGATCTGGGCCCATCAACTTAGAGCTGTGGCCCTTGGGCAGCAGCAGGTTATATCATAAACTAGAAGAAAATACAAAAGAATATTTCCAAGTGTGAAGGCTACGGCTATTTTTATTATCAGTTTCATCATTTTATAAATTTTCTATAGTGAACATACTTTATCATACATTATAGAATATCTGTATACATTATAATCAGAATTTTAAAAACTTGGTTTAAAGTTTGAAAGGGAAGACAGATGGGTAGAAAAGGTCAGGAACTTGGGGCAAAGAGCTGGAAGTGTAGGACTGCCATGTTTGGACTCTGGTGCAATAAACTCATAGAACTGTTTCTCCATTTTCAGGACACTGTTCTCTATGAAGGGCAAGCAGGATCTTTCCCTTCTTTGGGAGGCTAGGTCATTTATTACTTTCTTATCAACTCATTGATGCTTTTAAGAAGATGGTTTTTGAGTTTAACATGGTATTTTTACCTCTTTTCAGTGGAAGGATTTGTCCATATACTATAGCCTATCTTTTCTAGAAATGGAAAATGGAAGGCAAAACAGTTCCGTGAAAAGATCTTTGGGGAGTTTCTGGTTTCAGTTCTACACGTGAGCAGCTTGGAAATCACCTTTCTGTCCTCAAGACAAGTAAAAACCTGAATAAGCTGAAAAATTACCAATTCTTCTAGAATTCATAAAAGAGAGGAAACAGCAAACCACTGCTCCCAGGATGAAAAAAAAAAAAAAATTCCCAAAAGTTCCCCAAAGCAAAATTTGAATTTACTACACACTGGGAACTATTCACAAAGCATTTACAATGTATTTACAACTATTTCCATAGCAGTTATAGGTATTGTATTACAGGTATTAGAAGTAACCTAGAGATGATTTAAAGTACACAGGAGGATGTGTGTAGATTATGTACAAACACTATGACATCATTTAAAAGGGACTTGAGCATCCACAGATTTTGGTATCTTTGAGGGGCCCTGAAATTAATTCCCTGTGGATGTGAAGGGACAATGTAGATCAACTGAATAGAATAAAGAGCCTAGAAATAGACTCACATAAATATTGTCAACTGACCTTTGACAAAAGAGCAAGGCAATACAATGAAGGAAAGATAACCTCTTTAATAAATAGTGCTGGAACAACTGGACATCTATATTAAAAGCATCAATCTCACACAGACTTTACACCCTTCACAGAAATTAACTCAAAATGGAGTACAGAGCTAAATGTAAAACGTTAAATTATATAACACCCAGAAGATGATAAAGGAGAGACCCTTGAGGACTTCTGGGTATGGTAATGACTTTTTAGATACAACACCAAAGGCACAATCCATGAAAGAAATAATTGATAAGCTGAACTTTAATTAAAGTCTTCTACAAATGTGAGTGAGGATGTGGAGAAAAAGGAACTCTTAGGCACTGTTAGTGGGAATATAAAATTAGAGCAGCCATTATGGAAAGCAGTATGGAGATCTCTCAAAAAATTAAAAATGGAACTACCATGTAATCTAGCAATTCTACTTTTGGATGTTTATCTGAAGAAAATGAAAACACTAACTCAAAAAGAGATGTAGCAGCCATGGCGATGGAGAACACGGGATGTCTGGAACACTGGGTGGGGCGACTGGGTGAACCCCCGAGTATGAGCCTGGACTATGAGTTTTGCCAGCTGAGCAAGGCCAAGGCTAGAGCACAGACGAGCAGGCAGCTGCTGGAGGAGGCCGCCGTCTGCCACCAGCTAGGGGAACTCCTGGTGGGATGACTGTGGCCAGGCTCTGACCTCCGTCCTCCAGGCCTGCCCCACGCTCAGCACCCTGTACCTCCAGGCCTGTGACGCAGGCCCCAGCTTTTTCCTGAACCACCAGATGGCCCTGAGCAGCACCTTCCGAGACACCCAGTGCCTGAAGACACTGGCCCTGTCCTACAACGGCCTGGCGCCACTGCCCTAGCCCAGGCCCTGAGCAGCCTGCTGGCCCACAGCCTCCTGCACCTGGAGCTAAGTGCTGTGGCTGCTAGTGAGAGTGACCCAGGCCTCATGGACCCTGGTCAGCTACCTGATTCAGGAAGACTGCGCCCTGGAGCACCTGAACCTGTCGGCAAACCACCTGGGCAACGTGGCCTGAAGAGCTCTGAACTGATGTCTCCGTCTCTGCTCCTCACTGGTCTCACTCACCTGTCTGCCAACCCTGAGATCAGTTGAACTGGCTTGAAGGAGTTCCTGGCTGCCCTCCGAGATTGGTCCAGAGGCCTCAGCTTCCTCTGCCTGTCAGGCTGTGCTGTCTAGGCCGCCTGGGCCTCTGGCACAAGGTTATGGTGCAGCAGCCGTCTCTCCACTGAGGACCGTGATGCCCTGCCTGCCAGCTGGGCCCCAAAGACTGCACCCTGGACCGAGTCCCCAAGCTCTTCTTCAGGGGCCTCTGGCCAACGCCATGCCCCACCCGCCCCACCCATCAAGCCTCTACTAAAGGAAGCCGTTCTGCCTGCACCTCCCTCAGCTTCTGCTGTCTGGAAGGCAAGTGGGAGGCAGAAGGCAAGGTTGTAAAGCCTAGAGCCCTCCTGGAAGTGAGGATGTTACTGAAGCAGGTTCATCTGACCAGTAAGCAGTGAGTCAAAACCTCAAACATGCCAAGGTTTGCAGCAGAGAGAGGATTTAGTCACAAGGCAGCCAAGTGAGGAGACGGGAGGACAGATCAAATGTTTCCTTCCCCAAAGGCCAGGGGCTTGTGATATTTACAGGACAAAGCAGCAGGCCAAGGGAATTCCCTGGCAGTTCAGTGAGCAGGACTCAGCACTTTCACTGCCAAGGGCCCCGGGTTCAATCCCTGGTGGGGGAACTAAGATCCTACAAGCAGAATGCCTGTCTCCTCCTCCCCCACCTCCCAAGCAGGGTGGTCTTAGGCATGGGAAAAGGACATTGGAGGCAGGAAAAAGGTGAAGTAATCTGCTCTTCAGAGCCTCATCTGAATTACTTGCTTCTTCAGGGGACCCACGTTAAAACATGGTGGCGCATGACGGGGGAAGGGGGCTCTGTTGCCAAAAGGTCATTCATTAGACACCTGTGCAGGGCCAGTTCTAGTGTGAAACATGCAAGTTTTTGTGTCAACAATTAAAGCCAGCTTGATGAGTGGGGAGAAAAGAGATGTGCACCCCCATGTGCACTTAAGTATTACTACAATAGTCAAGATATAAAGACAGCCTAAGTGCCCATCAATGATTGAATGGATATGAAAATGTAAGAGAAATATTAGTCTGCCATATAATATATGGAATCTTGCCATTTGTATCAAGATCTAATGTACAATGGTGGGACGGGCAGAGGATAACCATCACACAATTTTAAAAAAATTATCTATTTATTTTTAGCTGTGCTGGGTCTTCACTGCTGTGCAAGGGCTTTCTCTAATAGTGGAGAGCGGGGGCTTCTTGCTGTGGTGGCTTCTCTTGTTGCAGAGCACAGGCTCTAGAGCATGTGGGCTCCAATAGTTGTGATCAGTGGGCTCTGTTGCTCCACGGCATGTGGGATTTTCCTGGAACAGGGATTTAACCATGTTCCCTGCATTGGCAGGCAGATTTTTAACCAGTGGACCACCAGGGAAGCCCCGAACACATTTAAAAGGGGAGAAATGGGAGGCACAAAGAGTCACTGGTCCGTAGCAATGTTCAAATACAGCCAAAACCGAAATGAAATTTGTCATTCTTTTTCCATCTCTCATTCCCGACCTCCACCCCCAGTAACTGTACCCTCTTCCCATGTTAGGGGAATCCCAGACTTTAAGGCCCTGGTAGAAGGCAGAGACTACCTCCCTCCATATGAGAGGAAAATTTGCTTACCCAACATTCTTGCAGGTAGACACAGTATAAGTCCATAGTTAGGTGACCGCATACTGCCTCTGGGTCAGGACATGGTGACATAAGCTGAAACAGTGAAGAATGCATTTGGCAAAGGTGGCATGAATGGCAGTAATGACACCCATTTGCCAAGAGAAGTAACGAAAGCAGTCCCAGCCCGGTACGGGATCAGTGGTGTGAGTTGTGACATCTGTGCTCAGCTGGGGCCAGTGGGTCCGATGTGGGACTCCACCTAGGAGGATTATGGATTCTGTTCCTGGCTGTGTAGCTTCAAGCTTATTCTGTGGCTTTTCCTGAAATGAAATGAGTCCCCAGGGTACACATACATGCAATTTTTGTTTATGTAACAGAAAAATTTGTATTCTGTTGTTTACACTAAGGAATGAGTGAGAAATCCATTTAGGTAATAGTTTCAAACAGCAAGGATTCATTGATTTTCATTATTTTGAGCTGATAACACTTCTTCAGTCTTCCACCTGGCTATGTACCTCAGGGTAGAGAAACCAATATGCATCTCTAGCCCTTTTCTTCCCAGGAAAGTACAACTGTTGAAGTGTGGATTTAAGACTCCTCCCCAACCTGAATGCTCTCTGATCACTGACCTCAGTCATTTAGTAGAAACTTGTCCCACCAAAGGGACAAGGACAAAGAAACAGACAAGATGACTCATCCAACCAGTGACCACTTTGAAGCCCACAAAGGACTCAGCACTCACTGGAGAGGGCTCATACCTCCTCATATCCTTCTTTGGTCCCACTGACATCAGACTCAGCACAGCAAATAGCACAGCTGGAAGATTCTCAGTGCTTCTGTTTGTTTTCCTGTCTCAAACTTTAAGAATCTTTTTATTTATTAACCCATCAACCCTCATGACATGAATTAGAAAAAACAAATTCACATCCAGATTCTTATGTTCAGTATTTCTCAGCACAACATGAAGTTAAGACAAGGTAGAAAGGGCCCAGCCCTGCCTCTGCCAAAACAGAGGAGTTCAACGGGGAAGAGAACACAGGTCTGGGTGGGGAGGAGGCGCGGTGGGCAGGGATGGGCCAGTCTCCCTACCTCCTCACGTTATGCTAATAGAAGGACAGACACATTCAGATGCATCTGCAGAAAGAAGAGTCTGGGATCTGACGTCACAAAGTGGGACTGAGCATCACTCAGTCCCCACAAGGCGGCTGTCTCACACTGTGAGAGAAAAGAATCAGGAACCAATTCAGGTCGGTCATGTAGCACTGACATTCTCCACAGCCCCCCACATGCTCACATGTCCCACTCAAAGATCCCCGCCACCCAGTGTGTCCCTTCTGCCCCAACTCCCCTTTCAATCTAGACCCCACAGGATCTCACCTTTAGGAACTGTGAGAGATATATCAGAGCCCTGGGCACTGTCACTGCCTGGGGGATAACAAGACCAGCACGTGGTCAGAACCCACAGGAGAGACACTAGAAAAGGCACTTTGAGGAGGGTGAGCCCCCATGGCCTCCTGTCTGCACCCTCACAAGGGTCTCAGGTATCACCCCCTTTATACTTACTTGCAGCCTGGGTGTAGATCCGTCCTTTTTCACCTGTGAGAAGAAAATATCACGTGAGAGGCCAGGGAGAAGGCTGAGTCATGAGATCCTAGAGCAACCCCTAGTCCTGAACCCCAGAGAATTTTCTGGAACTATGGTCAAAACTCATGATAGGATCAGGAACACAGAGAAGGGAAACGTGTAAGGACTGGGCCACCTGCCCTTCTGGAGGTCTGTCCTCAGCAAGGAGTTCCCTTCTGACCTTCAAGTGCTGGAAACCTGGTCCCCAACAGGAATTAGGAAGGTGAAAAATTTCTCTTTCATTTTCATACATGCTTTAGAGAAGCAAAATGCTAGCATCAACTTCATACTCTGTGCGTGTGTGGAGCATACTTTCCAGTAACCAGGCAGGTAAAGTTCTACCTGGGCTTGAAACCCCCAGTGAGACAGGAAAACTCAGATCCCTCCCTCCCTTCCCTACCTGAATGCTTCTTCCTTCAGATCACAGCTCCAGCCACCACAGCCACCACGAGGAGAACCAGGCCAACAATGATGCCCACTGTGAGGAAGGAGGTCTGAGGAGGTTCTGTGGAGGAGAGGGAAGAGGCCCTGACCTCAGGCTTGAGTCCTGACCTTGCTGAACTGAGTCCTGAAGAGCTCCTGCTTTATCTGAGAGGATGCTCCATCCCATCCCCCTCCTTACCCCATCTCAGGGTGAGGGGCTCCTGAAGCCCCTCGTGCTGCACATGACACGTGTATTTCTGCTCCTCTCCTGAAGGCACCACCAGGGCCACCCACTTTTGGAAGGTTCCGTCTCCTGAAGGCCTGGTCTCCACAAGCTCCATGTCCTGGGTCTGGTCCTCCCCATTGCACTGCCAGGTCAGTGAGATCTCTTCAGGGTAGAAGCCGAGGGCCCAGCACCTCAGGGTGACCTCACGGTCAGAGATGGGGTGACGGATCACATGTGCCTTTGGAGGGTCTGAGGAAGAATCAGAAAATTCACAGTTTGTGTTACCTCCATGGGTCACTGAAGCAGCATCATGTGACCATCCTGAGAAAGGACAGAACAGTGATTTTTTCCCCCCAGCTTTACTAAGGTATACTTAACAAAAATTGTACACATTTAGAGTGTACTACATGTTGCTTTGATATATATGTACACTGTGAAGGTAATTAATATATTCATCAACTTACTTTATGTGTGTGTCTGTTTCACAGGTGTGATGAGAATGATTAAGATCAATTTTAAAGTATATAACACAGGATTATTATTAACTATAGTCACCAGGCTGTACATCAGATCCCCACACTTATAACGTTTTTACTGGCTGAGCTATGGAACATTCAAGACCATGGTGTTGAAAAAAGCAGCACAAGAGCTAGATAACAGCCTCAAATCATAGATCAGGGATGATCTATATTAGTCCTTGGAAATTCCTAGAATGAGAGACTAGGATAGGAACTCCAAAAATAGTGAGGGGGAGAATACAGACTAAAGGTCCTGACTCTGGTGGAGGCTGAATGACTCAGAAAAGCTGGAGTCAGGCCTCATTAGATGCTCTCAGGGTGAGAACAGGCCTTGAGAGAGAAAGTCATGGATCACAAGATTGTGGCCAGCGTCAAAGGGCACCGCTGACCAGCTTTTTCAGGGATGGTTTGTTTCCTGCTTCTTCCTCAAAGACACTGGATTCCTTAATTGTCCTTCAGAGCAGTAGGGCCACTGGTGACTGTCTTGTACACAATATGAAAACCTGGGCGGATTCCTCCCTCTCCTGACAAGAACCTGGGGCGCTGTTCCCACAGGGACCCCATTTTCCTCTCCTTGTGGAAAGCCAGCTCCAGCCCGAGGGGAGATCAGGGAGGCCCCGCGCCCCTCGTACCTGAGCGCAGCAGCGTGTCCTTCCCGTTCTCCAGGTATTTTCGCAGCCACTTCACGCACCTGCCCTCCAGGTAGTTTCTGTCGTGATCCGCCTGACCGCCTTGCTCAAACTTGCGCTTGGTGATCTGAGCCGCCGAGTCCGCCGCGGTCCAGGAGCGCAGGTCCTCGTTCAGGGCGATGTAGTCTCTGCCGTCGTAGGCGTACTGCACGTACCCGCGGAGGAGGCGCCCGTCGGGCCCCACGTCGCAGCCGTACATCCACTGGAGGGTGTGAGACCCTGACCCGCCCCGACCACCCGCGGTGATTAAACCCAAACTGAAAATGAAACCGGGTCAAGTCCCTCCGGCTCCTCCCGGGTCGGGGTGCCGGGTGTGTTCCGCAGTGTTGGGGTGACCCTCGGACCCGCAGACTCGGGGCGATTCCGCCGGGGCGTGGAGGTGGGGGCCGTGACCTGGACCCGGGCCGCGTCGCTCACCGGCCTCGCTCTGGTTGTAGTAGCCGCGCAGGTTGTTCAGGTTCACTCGCAAAGTCTGTGCGGCGTCCTTGGCTTTCTGCGTCTCCTCATCCCAATACTCGGGCCCCTCCTGCTCCTACCACCGCGCCCGCGGCTCCATCCTCGGATCCGGGGCGTCTCTGTCAAACCGCACGAACTGCGTGTCGTCCACGTAGCCGACGATGATGAAGCGGGGCTCCCCGAGGCCGGGTCGGGACACGGCGGTGTAGAAATACCTCAGGGAGTGGGAGCCTGGGGGCGGGAAGGGGTGAGACCCGGCCCGACCCTCTACCCGGCGCGGGTCCCGGGTCCGAGGTGATGGGGCCGGGAGGGAGGAGGGGGCGGAGGGCCAGTGAGATGGAAGCGGTGGAAAACTGGCCCGAACTTCGATAAAGGTAGAAAAGAGGGGTCAGGAAGCAAGGGAGGGACAAGCAGGGACCGGGGAGGGGGCGGGTCTGGGCAGGGCGTCGGGGTCGCTCCTTCCGTGGGGTTTTGCCTGCCAGACTTCCGGGCGGTCCCCTCGCCCCTCCCCGCAGAGGCCATTCCCTCCCGACTCCGCACTCACCAGCCAGGCTCTCGGTTTTGACTAGGGCCCCCGAGAGCAGCAGGAGGAGGGTTCGCGGCCCCATTACGCGCATCCTGGGGGTCTGGGAAGAAGCAGAGTCTGGGCGTGTCGGTGGAGAATTTATAACCGGGATCTGCTGATTGGTTTTTCTAGAAACCAGACACCCAGTGGCAGTGAGAACTGGGGCCGCGTCATGAGTGTCCAGGCAGCAGGGCTAAACACAGGTTGTGAGCGCGAAAGTGAAACTCGAAGAGAAGGGGAATCGCCAACCTGGAGTTCCAGCCCCAGACTCCGCCCTTGAGCCTGAGATCCTGGGCGGCTTGCAGTTCAGGCACCTGGGACTTTGCCCTGATCCCTCCCCTCCTGTTAGGTAGAATGTTCAAACTACCTAATAATTACACCCATCTCACAGGCTAGCAAAGTAATGCTTCAAATTCTCCAAACCAGGCTTCAACCGAGCCTGAACCCTGAGCTTTCAGATGTTCAACCTGGATTTAGAAAAGCCAGAGGAGCCAGAGATCAAAGTGCCAACATCCCCTGGATTGTCGAAAAAGCAAGAGAGAAAACATCTACTTCTGCTTTATGGACTATGCCAAAGCCTTTGTGTGGATCTAAACAAACAGTGGAAAATTCTTCAAGAGATGGGAACACCAGACAACCTGACCTGCCTACTTAAGACATTTGTATGCAGGTCAAGAAGCTACAGTTAGAACTGGACATGGAACAACAGACTGGTTCCAAATTGGGAAAAGAGTACGTCAAGGCTGTTTATTGTCACCCTGCTCATTTAACTTACATGCAGAGTACATCATGTGAAATGCTAGGCTGGATGAAGCACAAGTTGGTATCAAGACTGCCAGGAGAAATATCAATAACCTCAGATATGCAGACGACAACCAACCTTATGGCAGAAAGCAAAGAGGAGCTAAAGAGCCTCTTGATGAAAGTGAAAGAGAAGAGTGAAAAAGTTGGCTTCAAGCTCAACACTCAGAAAACTAAGATCATGGCATCTGGCCCCATCACTTCATAGCAAATAAATGGGGAAACAATGGAAATAGTGGCAGACTTTACTTTTTTTGGGCTCCAAAATCATGCAGATGGTGACTGCAGCCATGAAATGAAAAGATGCTTGCTACTTGCAAGAAAAGCTACAACCAACCTAGACAATATATTAAAAAGCAGAGACACCACTTTGCCAACAAAGGTCCAACTAGTCAAGCTACGGTTTTTCCAGTAGTCATGTGTGGATGTGAGAGTTGGACTGTAAAGAAAGCTGGGCACTGAAGAATTGATGCTTTTGAACTGTGGTGTTGGAGAAGACTCTTGAGAGTCCCTTGGACTGCAAGGAGATCAAACCAGTCAATCTGAAAGGAAATCAGTCCTGAATATTCATTGGAAGGACTGATGCTGAAGGTGAAGCTCCAATACTTTGGCCACCTGATGGGACAAACTGAGTCATTTGAGAAGACCTTGATGCTGGGCAAGATTGAAGGCAGGAGGAGAAGGGGATGACAGAGGATAAGATGGTTGGATGACATCACTGACTGGATGGACAGGAGTCTGAGCAAGCTCCAGGAGATGGTGATGGACAGGGAGGCCTGGCGTGCTGCAGTCTGTGGGGTCACAAAGAGTTGGACATGACTGAATGACTGAACTGAACTGAACTCCCCTCCGAGAACTCTCTTTCCCCCTGTCTTAATATGTATTCATATCCCAGACAGAAATCCGACATAGTGTCTGAGAAAAATAATATGGCCCTTTCATCTCATGTGGTCTAATGAACCTGAATTGAGGCCCGCAAATCATGAAGAGTGGTCTATTCCAACAGGACATCCTATGGTGAATGAACTGTTCTATGTCTGTGCTATCCAGTCAGGTAGTCAGGAGCTACATGAGGCTATTTAGCACCTTAACGTGTCTGTTGTGCTGAGCACTTTTATTTATTT